GGGGGGGTCCCTTGTTACAAGCTTGTCAAATCCTCGGGGAGCAGGTCAAGTTTGTGCGCCCGCAGCTATTTGCAAAGCTACACACACTAGACTGCTTCATGCAATAGTTCACAAACACACTTCAGAGGCTAAGGTTTGTATTTCATTCCAGTTTTTTTTTTCGCCTTGGGAGACATAGCCTAATGTGAGCCTTACCGTACAGGTTGATGTATCTGACACAGCTCTCCACCACAAGTGGAATTGGTTGGCCTGAATCCTGAAATAGGAGGAAAATAGATTGTACTCGATTTTTAATACAGTCATATTTGAAGAAAAAAAAAAAGCAGTTGGTTGCTCCATCCAACCCATCTGAAGCAGCAGCAGGTTGGGAATTCCAATTAGGAAATTAGGTTTGATATTCTCATTGGCCACAACATTAGAAATTCCTACAATGTTGCAGTACTGAAATTACTTCCTATGCACTACAGTATGTATTGATCTGTTATCTGTACATGTGCACATATATCGATTGTCTGTCTGTAGTGGTGGAAAGTAACAAAGTCCAAATAGTTGCTGTACTTATTTTTTTCAGATTTCTGTACTTGATGAAACAATGCAAAGAAGGTATAAAGAAAATTAAACCATGGCTGAGCCCTGAGGGACATTAACTAGGAAGGATGAACAACAAACCAAAATATTCCCCATTCATGGCCAATTGTCTGATGTTAGAATTATATGTACCAAATACGTTGTCTTGGTACAGCCTAAAAAAACACAACCTTCTGGCATTTAAAAATCTCAGTCCAATCGAAAAAAATCCTCCAACATATCCAAGTCAGGTACATTTTTTGTGGTTATCGTTAGTTAAAATGAGCATTTTTTTGTTATAGTACAGGATTACGTTACATTCAGTTAGTCATGCTCAGTTTTAACTGACACTGTCGGAGCAGTGCTGCTTCACTTTATTTTTGAAAATGCAATTACCGGTACATTTTAATCTTTTCAGTGGAAATTCAACTTACAATCTGCTGTAGCTATTCTTTTTTTATGTCGCACACCACATAAAGAATCAGATCAAGGGCACCTTGGCAGGAGTTAGAAAGCACTGTAGCATCCATCCAACAACTATAGTGGGCTAGAGACAGAGCCCTGCTATGGATCGAAAACATCCAGAGTAACAGATGCAAATATGCCAGAGCAGTGTATTTGATTTTTTTTTTCCCATATTGTGTTTGCCAATTGAACCGTGACCCTACAGTTCCAAAACCACAGATGATTTTTAGTGCACTGTATTATAATCACTAATGAGCTGATTACCTCTTTTAGCGCCATGCAAGTTTTTTTCTATCCAACATTTGATTACTTTTAATACTAATACAAACGATACATTTGCACTAACATAACAGTAAACACCATCTGGCATTACTGTTTATACTGAGTGACACTCCATTTCAGTTAGGCAGTTAAGTTATCTTGCATTTTAAGAGATGCACCATCCTGCCTTATAGCCCATCCTGCCCATTTATCACTCCTCTTTCTTTCTACTGGCTCTCTGCTAAGTATTACACCGGGGGCACTGGAGTTCAGATTGCTTCCATGTGTGTGGACTACTCTCGTCTTCACATCAACTGAGAATCTAGAAAACAATGTTTTTCCGTTCTGGCTGTTTTGTTTGCACACATATACAAAATCACAGAGATTCACACACGCACGCACATACACACGTACACAGCCACTATGGCTTTGAATGCTTGGTGACTCACTGATGGTTGAGATGAAGTCCAGGAAACGCTCCTTTGGGAAGAGGGAGTTCTCCAGGCCTCGGAAGTAAAGCTTTAACACTCCTGCCACTGAGTTGATATCATGTTCATTGTGGTCGTCTATTAAGGGATCTTCTCCTGATGAATAATCACAACTCAGCATTCAGTGGTGACATTCGATGGGATACAGAACCACTTAGCTTTCAAGCGAATCAAAGGCGACAGGATAACAAGAAGTGACTCACCTCTTTCAAAAGAATTTTTAATATCGTTCACTTCCACCTGTGATCCAGGCACTCGGAAGATGCCTTGCTGCTGCAGGCCTGAAAGGAATATATTGCAGATAAACAGACAACATGAAGCGGGCAATGTAATCTAGTCATAAAGGAAGATGTTTTGTTCTGGGTTTGTTTTTTTCTCCAGGAGGGGGCCCCACTGTGAGGCGCCAACATGTGCTTCCAGTTAGAGGGTTACTAATCAGTTTTCTGGGGTTTCATTAGGTCCAGATTCTCGGTATAGGCCTGCAGGCTGTAGCAATGAGCTGGAGACAGATGTGAATGTAGAAGGACGGGGTGGAGCTATAAGAAGGCAGAGGACGAAGCGGGTGAGGAAGGTTGCTTGACAACAGAGCTCACACGGTGGGGCGTGGGTGGGGGGGCTATCACAACAGTGTGTGTGTGTGTGTGTGGGGGGGGGGGGTCCCTTGTTACAAGCTTGTCAAATCCTCGGGGAGCAGGTCAAGTTTGTGCGCCTGCAGCTATTTGCAAAGCTACACACACTAGACTGCTTCATGCAATAGTTCACAAACACACTTCAGAGGCTAAGGTTTGTATTTCATTCCAGTTTTTTTTTTCGCCTTGGGAGACATAGCCTAATGTGAGCCTTACCGTACAGGTTGATGTATCTGACACAGCTCTCTACCACAAGTGGAATTGGTTGGCCTGAATCCTGAAATAGGAGGAAAATAGATTGTACTCGATTTTTAATACAGTCATATTTGGGGGGGAAAAAAAAACAGTTGGTTGCTCCATCCAACCCATCTGAAGCAGCAGCAGGTTGGGAATTCCAATTAGGAAATTAGGTTTGATATTCTCATTGGCCACAACATTAGAAATTCCTACAATGTTGCAGTACTGAAATTACTTCCTATGCACTACAGTATGTATTGATCTGTTATCTGTACATGTGCACATATATCGATTGTCTGTCTGTAGTGGTGGAAAGTAACAAAGTCCAAATAGTTGCTGTACTTATGTTTTTCAGATTTCTGTACTTGATGAAACAATGCAAAGAAGGTATAGAGAAAATTAAACCATGGCTGAGCCCTGAGGCTTAAAGCGGAATATACACAGGCAGCAGTGGAGACAAAGTTGGAGGGACAACAAAGCAAAATATTCTCCATCCATGGCCAATTGTCTGATGTTAGAATTATATGTACCAAATACGTTGTCTTGGTACAGCCGAAAAAAACACAACTTTCTGGCATTTAAAAATCTCAGCTCAATTGAAAAAAATCCTCCAACATATCCAAGTCAGGTCCATTTTTTGCGGTTATCGTTAGTTAAAATGAGCATTTTTTTGTTCGTCAGTTGATAACGTTGGTGAAGCTATGTTTTTAGTTTTCAAAACCGTTATTGTATGTAACTGACAGCAACATCTCATTTGATTTTTACTTTTGTCCAACATCTGTCTGCATTATGAAGGACATTTCCAACAAACACATAATTAACACATCTTTGACAAATATGAACATTATCTTTGCATTGTTTGGCTAAAACTTTGCAGCCCAATGGAGGTGCATCTAATGAGGTGGCCAGCGAGTGCAAATTCTCAGAGAGGTACCTGGATGCGAGCACGGGCATTCCTTCTCCCTCTAGGAAAAAGCAGCATAGCACAGTAGGGTATAGCAGAGAAAGGAGGGGGCAAAGAAGTAAATAGTTAGACAAGCAACATGAGGAACGAACTCCTCGCGAGATTAAAAGAGGCGAAGCACAAGGAGTGAAACAACAGGGGGAAACCACACGTGCAGTGAGGGACAAAGCAAGATGTCTCCCTTTCACCCAAATAAGTGGCTGGATTTGTGAGTCAGAGACAGTAAATTATGTGTGAATAAAGAGACAACCGACTGCCGTTCCGCCTGCATCGGCAGCGCCCCAGACGGGAGGAAGAGGATTGGAGGTTAAGCAAAGGTTACGTTATGATGAAGGGCCGCGGCAAGGATGGGGAACAAAAGGCCAAAATGAGGAAGAGCAGGAAGATGAGAGGCTGGAGCCACCTCCCCCGTTTAGGAACCACAGGGACTGCTCAGGCATACGCTACAAACCACATGGGGGTACCTTGACGAAGGTCTCCAAATTGCCGTTAAACAGCTTATGGTTATAGACGGAGCGCGGTCTAGGCTTCCGCATTTTCTGAGGTTTAGGGGGAAGGGTGGGGGGCCTAGGAAACGAAGGACAAAAGGAATATCACCGCCATAATATTTAGAAAGCTCAAAATAATCCGGAATATTTCAATTCTGGGATGAAAAATACAGCTCCAATGGTGTTCACGTTTGAGAAGAAAACAAAAACCATTTACTTCAATTCTCATTCAATTTCAACTGTGTTTGTACAGTTTAAATGAGGCAAGAATCGACTATTCAACAGAATTGGTGATTTTGCAAAAACAGACATTACTGATCAAACCAAAAACCCTTAATAAATTCCACTAAAACTCGAACCCGAAAAAAGGCATTCCTTATTCCATAAATAAAAACGTGACCTAAATGTAGGCTTCGCTGTGTGTGTGTGGGGGAGAGAGAGAGAGAGAGGGCGTCATTTATTTTGACAGAACCTTGTTCAAAATATTCTGAATAAGATATCATATAAAATCCATATTAGGTACAACTGCACAATATAACCTCAAAAATTATACAAGGCGACTAAATTAATAATGTTAAATTATATATAATAGTTCGCTCATCAGCGCTTCGCACTCAGGTGGGTTGAAGAACTTTATTTTGAAGGTTTCCTGAGCCTCAGCTGTTTTTTTAAGACCAGTCACATCAGGAAGTGATGACAGCTCTGACGAAGGCTGGATTGACAGCCGAAAGTGTCAGCAAGGTCAAAGAGTTTCTCTCTCTGTATCAAAAGAAAACAACATCATTTGCCTGAAGAAACTAAATCTAAAACCGATTCTAAATAGGAGACAAGATGAACGTTATGGAGATGTTTCAGATGATGCATTCATCATGCAGCGCTTTTTTCCTAATATTCCGGTAGAAAATTGAACCATATTGAATCACACGAGGAGAAAAATATTAAAAACACCTCACAGGATGATGCGGTGTAGTTGTACACTACAGCAAATCACAATAATAAATGTACTGTTAAGCAGAACTTTTTGATTCGGCTTTGATTGTGCAAGTGTACCTAATAATGTGCCACTTGACTATAGAAAACCTTATAAGGATCTACAAAAAAAAAAAAAAAAGTCAAAATGCAATTTGGTTTTTTTTCATTCTGGCAGCAGCACTGAATACTCTAAATCTCTGGGATGGATGAAATAAACAGATGTTTTGAAAACTAATCTGAACTTACCTTGTGGTTCCACATTCAGCTCTTTCCCCTGAGGAAAAGACACACAGAAAGGGAAATGTTTTATATTAGTGCTGGAAGTGAATAGATTAAACAGACCAGCCTGGGAAGGACAAATGAAGCACCAAAAGCGCCAACGGTTGGACAATGCTATTGAGCAATAGACGATAACGCCTCAGGGGACCTGGAGGATATGGGAAAAGAGGAGAGGGAGTCGGGGGTGGGTGGGGGTCCACCAGCGGTGACACTGAACAATGACTGTGCTGCTTCACTGAGCCTTTTGTTGTCGCGCGAAGATCAGACAAAACCTTATATTTGATGCCGCGTGTGTCTCTCTTCCAAAAACACATCACTTACAAGATAATAATAACACTCTGCTTTAACAAACCTATAAATGTTGTATTCCGGCCCTTATTAAAACACCACGCACAAAAAAGAAAAAAAAATAAAAGACACAAAAGACCACAATTGATTTGCACCTACAACCTGATGGGCTCTCTTGAGCCGAGCGTGTGTCAGATGGAAGGGAGTCCACGCACAACAAAAGCAACAATGGCACCAAAGCACTTCAACATTGTCTCTTTATGAGCCACAATGGATAATCACAGCAAGAGCTAAGACACTTCTCTATGCATCATTGTGACATATGGGGCCAAACAGAGAGTTTCCCAGACATCATTACACTGACTGATTATTATCGCGTTTGTCCCTGGTTGACCAACCGCAGATTGAGACACTTCAAACCTCGGATGAGTCCTTAAAATGATGCATACGCCCTCACTTCACCTACACAATCTGATGGAATATTATATTTTTGATTATCGTCCGGTTTTAATTTTAACAAGATCTACAGCTTGTCATCATACGCGTATACAGTACACATGCAGTTAGGTGTAAATGTAAACATAAAAAAAAAACTTTTTTGAACTAAAAGTGTGTAAAACTTGGTATAAAAATCATAATGGAGGGACAGTATTTCTGAATGGGCCTGTAAATGCGCAAGGGAAATAGTTTATGTTAAAAGGGTCAGAACGTATCATATTTATTCTTATTTCTGCTTCTGTTCATTCAATTTTGCATTTTCATGTCTGCTTTTTCTTTTGCGTAATAAATTCAATTTGACAAATAGACAACATACTGTAATGGTAGTCCCTTAGCAAAGCTTTATCAAAAAGAGACCATACTATTGTGTTGATATCAAAACTCAGTACAACACAGTGCAAATAAACGCAAATAAAATAGCTGATGTGAACATTTAATTTTTTTTTTTTTTTTACCTTTCTCATCAGCTTCTCGTCATGGGTGACATGAATCTTCACTGATTCATTTCTGGTTTTTAAGCATGTGCTAATGACGTAGCTGTCTTTTTTTTTTTGTCTCTAGATACTTAATAATAATACTGATTTACTGTTCATCGCTGGTTGCTCTGTGCTCTAAAACAGTTCTAGCCAAACCTCTGTGCAAAGTGCACTCTACACCTCAGCACGTCTTTTGGTCTTTTGTGACACACATTAGCTTCGTGATTAGCATTAGCTCCTCCAACTTCTCATATTCTCTTTGGTTGCTCAGTGTGTTGCATGTTTGCCTTTTTGTGATAGCTCAACTTGCCAGCACAGAGGCAATGATTAGTTTCTTAGAGGAGAAGTTTGACATTTGCAGCTTGAAGCTGCTGCCCATGACATGGGCAGAGCAAGTTAGCTTAGCGCCTCGAATTTTTCAGGAAGCGAGGAAAGCAACAGATGAGGGTGGATGTCTGACAGCGTGATGTGGACGCAAAGCTTATTTAACCAGCTCGGATCTGCTTTATATTCTCTTTGTTTGATGTTTAGTTTGACAGTAAATTTCACCAGGGAGTGGCGTGAAAGAGCTCAAAGCCTCTTTTTTGAAGAATTGTTCACATTCTGCCAAATTACCGCTTGTTGTGAAGTGAATTGAGTTCACAGGCACCATATGGTGCTCCGATCTCAAATTTTTACTCGCAACTCAAAGCAACAATGCCTCACATCTCCAAAAAGTCAAATGTCCAGTCGCTTGTAACTCAATGCACCACTGTATGCATGCACAATGCACGTCATTTAGCACATCTCTGACGGCATGAATCACAACTGAATGCTATTATTTTGCAAAGGTAAATTTTGTATTGGACCTCATTGAAGTGACCAAAAAAAAAAAAGGCTCCACTGAGAGCGCAAACCGTACAATAAAAATAATGCGGAATTTTTAGGTACCAGCTAGTATCAGTCCATGACATGATGTTATTATTCGGCGCCCTGCGGCACACAGTTTCGTCTCGTGCCCCGTGACATGCATGCACACTGCCCCACAGATGCGATAGTTTGGACAAGAAGCGGCGAGCTAATGAGCACAGCACAGTCCTAATTGAGCACCTGAATAATTAAACACGGGCGGTACCTGGAGACGCCATATGCCGCGTTCATGTGCTCTCTGCTGTTCCGCCACAGAGGTAAACAAACGCAAATCTGCCCAAAGATGGATGAGAACTGCTGTATAATGTGAGGGTTGGTTGTTTGCAGTATAGCGCAAAATCCAGAAGGACAGAATATGTAAGGACAGAATAAGTAAATGTATCCCCAGCTGTCTCATGTGACGGTCTATTAGGAAAGATCTTGATGCAGGAGCAGCTGCAGAGATGAAGATGGACCTTCTGATTGATTAGGCGTAAAATGTTCACGGCTGAGGTGAGCAGGGCACCCATGGGAGTAGGAGGGACAAAAAGAACCAATCTCTTTCTCTCTCTTTAAAAACTCTTTGTGGGCTTAACCAGCAAGAAAAAGGGACTTACAGCAATCACGAAAGTTCAATTTAGCTCAAAACGGTACCTATTTCAGTACTAAAACAATCAATCTACAATATACTGCTTTTGGGCACTCATCCTTGGGGTAACAACCACTCTGGTATAGCACCTAAGGTTGCAGCTAGCTACAATATAGTCCATTGACTGGTCAACTGTTTCCCTCCATATGGCAAAAATGGAATCAAAACCCAAACCAAAATAAACGTAAATAGAATGGAAGAGTACGCCACAACAGTTTTTATCAAATAAAGTGACTTCACTATGGCTAAACACATCAGTTCCGTGTTCTTTCCTGCTGCTTTCATTCTCTTTTTCAAATCGAATTCCCTGCAGTGCATTATTAGATAAGACCTGCATCTGCTCTAACCCTGAAGGCAGCGATTACGGGGCTAGTGAGGGTCACGTTTACAAGAGGGCGATGCAAGGTGAGGATTCTTACCTTCGCCAAGGGTCTGCTTGAGTAAGTCATGCTTGGCCTGCAGCTTAATGATGAGGTTGCTGCCATTCAGGTACTCCTTGAATTTCTAAAGAGAAACATTAAGATTACAACGAGTGAGCGGTGCCTCTAATCCAGCCCACGGAAATTATTCGATAAGGAACCAGGATAATTTAGATTCTCTTTGGTGTCTAACTGAAATCTGATGTTAATACAGGAATTAGACGAACTCACTGAGAGGTAGAACATTTCAGTCTCCTGTTGGTTGGCTCTCCTCTTTGCTACATTCATCTTGCTCATGTAGGACTCGGAGGCAAGGGACTTGATGGATTCAGTGGAGCGGCTATGTTGGAATGCGTCGGACACGTCAAAATCCTCCACCGTCAGCATGTCTTGCAGAGTTTGCATGGTAGCGTCCAAGGTCTTTCTCACCTGCACCGAAAAGGGAGCGTTGAACAGGAAAGCAGATGTCAATTCAAGCAACTTCTCTTTGTTTGATGTTTAGTTTGACAGTAAATTTCACCAGGGAGTGGCGTGAAAGAGCTCAAAGCCTCTTTTTTGAAGAATTGTTCACATTCTGCCAAATTACCGCTTGTTGTGAAGTGAATTGAGTTCACAGGCACCATATGGTGCTCCGATCTCAAATTTTTACTCGCAACTCAAAGCAACAATGCCTCACATCTCCAAAAAGTCAAATGTCCAGTCGCTTGTAACTCAATGCACCACTGTATGCATGCACAATGCACGTCATTTAGCACATCTCTGACGGCATGAATCACAACTGAATGCTATTATTTTGCAAAGGTAAATTTTGTATTGGACCTCATTGAAGTGACCAAAAAAAAAAAAAGGCTCCACTGAGAGCGCAAACCGTACAATAAAAATAATGCGGAATTTTTAGGTACCAGCTAGTATCAGTCCATGACATGATGTTATTATTCGGCGCCCTGCGGCACACAGTTTCGTCTCGTGCCCCGTGACATGCATGCACACTGCCCCACAGATGCGATAGTTTGGACAAGAAGCGGCGAGCTAATGAGCACAGCACAGTCCTAATTGAGCACCTGAATAATTAAACACGGGCGGTACCTGGAGACGCCATATGCCGCGTTCATGTGCTCTCTGCTGTTCCGCCACAGAGGTAAACAAACGCAAATCTGCCCAAAGATGGATGAGAACTGCTGTATAATGTGAGGGTTGGTTGTTTGCAGTATAGCGCAAAATCCAGAAGGACAGAATATGTAAGGACAGAATAAGTAAATGTATCCCCAGCTGTCTCATGTGACGGTCTATTAGGAAAGATCTTGATGCAGGAGCAGCTGCAGAGATGAAGATGGACCTTCTGATTGATTAGGCGTAAAATGTTCACGGCTGAGGTGAGCAGGGCACCCATGGGAGTAGGAGGGGCAAAAAGAACCAATCTCTTTTTCTCTCTTTAAAAACCCTTTGTGGGCTTAACCAGCAAGAAAAAGGGACTTTCAGCAGTCACGAAAGTTCAGTTTAGCTCAAAACGGTACCTGTTTTAGTGCTAAAACAATCAATCTACAATATACTGCTTTTGGGCACTCATCCTTGGGGTAACAACCACTCTGGTATAGCACCTAAGGTTGCAGCTAGCTACAATATAGTCCATTGACTGGTCAACTGTTTCCCTCCATATGGCAAAAATGGAATCAAAACCCAAACCAAAATAAACGTAAATAGAATGGAAGAGTACGCCACAACAGTTTTTATCAAATAAAGTGACTTCACTATGGCTAAACACATCAGTTCCGTGTTCTTTCCTGCTGCTTTCATTCTCTTTTTCAAATCGAATTCCCTGCAGTGCATTATTAGATAAGACCTGCATCTGCTCTAACCCTGAAGGCAGCGATTACGGGGCTAGTGAGGGTCACGTTTACAAGAGGGCGATGCAAGGTGAGGATTCTTACCTTCGCCAAGGGTCTGCTTGAGTAAGTCATGCTTGGCCTGCAGCTTAATGATGAGGTTGCTGCCATTCAGGTACTCCTTGAATTTCTAAAGAGAAACATTAAGATTACAACGAGTGAGCGGTGCCTCTAATCCAGCCCACGGAAATTATTCGATAAGGAACCAGGATAATTTAGATTCTCTTTGGTGTCTAATTGAAATCTGATGTTAATACAGGAATTAGACAAACTCACCGAGAGGTAGAACATTTCAGTCTCCTGTTGGTTGGCTCTCCTCTTTGCTACATTCATCTTGCTCATGTAGGACTCGGAGGCAAGGGACTTGATGGATTCAGTGGAGCGGCTATGTTGGAATGCGTCGGACACGTCAAAATCCTCCACCGTCAGCATGTCTTGCAGAGTTTGCATGGTAGCGTCCAAGGTCTTTCTCACCTGCACCGAAAAGGGAGCGTCGAACAGGAAAGCAGATGTCAATTCAAGCAACTCCCATTTAGCCTTTGAAGGAGGAGGAAAAAAAAAAAGCACTGACGGAATAATAAGTGACCTTATTTTCTAGGGTGAGATAAAATATCATTTGCATTGCAGGGAAATGAAAAGCAAGTCACGTCTGAATAAAGGAGGGAACGGCTAAAACGGATGAGTGCAAATGCATCCGTATTTTTGAACGGGGCATAGATTGATAAAGCTCATTTCGAGTAATGGCACGGCCCATCCATTATTACAGATAACGGAAGACACGGCGGGGGAGGAGAGGCAGCAGCAATTGGCACGGCAACACGGCTTATTATCACCTCCATTTGCACCTTTGTGTCTGCCGCTCTTTGATGAGAAAGCCCTCTCTTCATCAACATGACATACTTTCATACAGAAAACAACACTGGCACAGTGACAAGGCACTGAATAAATTCTCAGCCGCCACAATGGCGGGGGTTGGGGGGGAGATGGTGGGGGTCAGCGTAGAGTAATTGCAATGAGGACAGATGGTGATGTGGCCCTGCGCCGCGGCTCCAGGGAACAGCCGCCAGACCTTTCTCCATCAGTGGGGAGCTGGCGGACGCACACAAAGCCCCCGTAAATCCTCACCTCCTCATTCTCAATCTTCAGTGTAGCCAAGCGAGACTGTAGTTGGTGGTAGCGCATCAAGAGCTCCGTCTGGACGGGCTGCTGGGCGCTCACCTGGCACACCTAAGAAGAAGAAGAAGAAGAAGAAGAAGAAGAAGAAGCATTAGTAAGGCTAGTCACCAACCTACAGTATCCATTCTCATTCATTTACAACGTATCTTTACCGTATTTCTGATTAGGCGTAAAATGTTCACGGCTGAGGTGAGCAGGGCACCCATGGGAGTAGGAGGGACAAAAAGAACCAATCTCTTTCTCTCTCTTTAAAAACTCTTTGTGGGCTTAACCAGCAAGAAAAAGGGACTTACAGCAATCACGAAAGTTCAATTTAGCTCAAAACGGTACCTATTTCAGTACTAAAACAATCAATCTACAATATACTGCTTTTGGGCACTCATCCTTGGGGTAACAGCCACTCTGGTATAGCACCTAAGGTTGCAGCTAGCTACAATATAGTCCATTGACTGGTCAACTGTTTCCCTCCATATGGCAAAAATGGAATCAAAACCCAAACCAAAATAAACGTGAATAGAATGGAAGAGTACGCCACAACAGTTTTTATCAAATAAAGTGACTTCACTATGGCTAAACACATCAGTTCCGTGTTCTTTCCTGCTGCTTTCATTCTCTTTTTCAAATCGAATTCCCTGCAGTGCATTATTAGATAAGACCTGCATCTGCTCTAACCCTGAAGGCAGCGATTACGGGGCTAGTGAGGGTCACGTTTACAAGAGGGCGATGCAAGGTGAGGATTCTTACCTTCGCCAAGGGTCTGCTTGAGTAAGTCATGCTTGGCCTGCAGCTTAATGATGAGGTTGCTGCCATTCAGGTACTCCTTGAATTTCTAAAGAGAAACATTAAGATTACAACGAGTGA